AGGTTATGGGTGAAGGTATCCCAGAATTCTCAACAAGAAGAGTCTATCGTGTATTGTTAGGTTGACCAAATTGTCAACCTAATTGATACAGCATGACTAGGAGATGTAAACAAGCAGGATATTGAGGAGTTACAGCAGGTTTCTTGTGAAAGCCTTACCAATGATGACTTTCAAGAACTGGCAGAACAAGGAATTCATGTTAACTGGAAAACAGAGTTTCTGCAAATGAAGAATCCAAAGAACTTGTTACAGATTTCCTTAGTAAAAGTTTGGTAATGATAACTGAAATCATTGATCAAATTGTAGCAAATGATCCAGATTTTGAAAGGAGTGCAAAAACAAAATGAGGCATTTTGGATGCAATCTTCTGCTACCTACATTTGCTTAAGAAAAGAAAAAGCGACAAATGAAACTCCAGGACTTAATTGCAAAAACAAGAATTTCAGAAAAGCCAAGACCTTCCTCATAAAAAAATTTGTGTGCATATGTTTGTTATTTAACTTATATTATTATACAAATTAATATAAAAGTAAGTTAAATTTAAAGAAAAATTTGTTTATTTTTGGTTGCATGTTCCTTGATCTCTATTTACTCTGTTAAAATGACCTCATTTAACGCTGTTTTGTTTAGCACTTTGTCGTCTAGGAATGCATTCCCCACATTAAGTGGAGTCTTACTGTACTTTTGTTTTAGAAATATTTATAGTTAATCCATAGTCATAGCAAAATTTCTCCAGAATTGCAATTTTACTTTGTAACATTTGTGGGATATCAGCAAGAATGTGTTGTCAGCATACATTAATACATGTAACTCAACTTCATCAGAGAGAGAAATCCCAGGTAAGTCAGATTTAGCAAGTAGAACTATCAGATCATTAACATAAAAATAAAAAAATAATGGGCTCAGAATTTCACTCTGCAAAACTCTGATGTCAATACCAAAGGAATTGGTCATTTTAGCTAATATCTGTACTGTTGCAGTAGCTTTGGTATATATATCAATTATAAGGCCAAGAAACTGTTTATTCATGCCCATTTTTTCCAATAGAGACCATAAAACTTTGTGATTAATGGTATCAAAAGCAGATCAAAAGTGTACAAAAACAGCATAAAGTTTTCCTCTTTTTTTCTGCAATTTTAATTGTACTAATGCATTTAATACAAATATTTGATCCTGACATGATTGGCCAGGTCGAAAACCTGCTTGCTCCTAACACAAAATATCATATTTAATAATCTGATCTCCTAATCTTTTATTTAATAAGGACATAAATAGTTTTCCGATTACAGGAACCAAAGATATGGGTCGATAATTTTTGTGATCATACGCATTGCCTTTTTTATTAGGTTGTTCGGAAAGTAAGTTCGTTTTTTTACCACTAGACGGATTAGCCGTATTTTTCTCGCCATTTTTATTCTAAACCGTATTATCATTATATATTTTGACATCTAGCATTTTAAAGCTTATTTGTAAATAATTTTGTTTGATTTTGTGCAATTGTTTATTTTTTGCGTCCCATCAAATATGGAAGATCCAAAGCATCATTTTCGGCATATTTTGCTTTTTTATTACCAAAAAATCAAAATGCTGTTCAAGCAAGAAAAAAATTGTGGTATATGTATGGAGATGATGTGCTGACAGAACGACAGTGCCAAAACTGGTTTACAAAATTTTGTTCTGGCAATTTCAATATTGAAGATGCACCACGTTCTAAATGACCAATTGAAGCCAATGAAAACAAAATAAAGGTACTGATTGAAGCAAACTGCCGAATAACAACACGTAAAATCACTAAGAGATTAAATTTGTCAAATTGAACTGTTTATGATTACTTGAAACAAATTGGTTTTGTTTCAAAGCTCGATATATGGGTTCCACATGTTCTTAGAGAGACGCTCTCTTTGGTGGGATTATAAGGAAATTTTGTTTCTGGAGCTTTTACCAGACAATTTAACAATTGATTCGAAAGTGAACTGCCATTGAGTAAACAAATTGATTAATATCATCAAACAGAAAAGGTGGTCGGAATTGATCAACAAAACAGGTGTAGTGTTTTACCATGATAATGTCAAATTTCACACAAGTTTGGTAACTCGTCAGATTTTGGTTTGGTAACTCGTTTGATAACTTGTCAGTAACTGTTATAACATAGATGGGATGTGCTATCACACCAACCATATTTGCCAGATGGAGCACACACAGATTATTACTTGTTCCGGTCTATACAAATTTTTTTTAACTGTAAGACATTTACTTGAAATGACAATGTCAAAAATCACTTGGATCAGTTTTTTGTAAACAATGATCAAAACTTTTATGAATGTGAAATCATACTACTACCAGAAATGATGACAATAGGGTATTTAACCAAAATGGTTGATATATAATTCAATAAAATATTTATTTATTATAAAAACATTTGTTTTTTTCCATGGAAAAAAACAAACTTACTTTCCAAACAACCCAATATATACGGTATACCTTGGGTTATGTCATTTGGAGTTAAGTTGTTCTCGATTATATGCTGTTTTTCAAAAAAAATATATGGAAAAATAAAAATCAAGTTTAAGTCATTTTATTCGACTTTACGTCTGTCCGCCACAAATATTGTAGTCGTAATATCATTAGAAAAGTGTTAAAAGCACATAAAATCATATTAAAATACTACATTTACAGTAAATGTTAATATACTCATCATAAATCATAGAGAATGAAATATGAAAATATCTGTGACTCTGTGTTGCCGTCTTATTTAGCAGTCTTTAAGAGCTCAATATTGGCATTTTCCACAGTAGTTTCAATATCTATTGTTTGACGTCGTCGTTGTCAGCACCACTTGATATTGGTAAATTTAATATAAATTAGTTTATTTTCTACTGTTGCAAAATAATTTTAATAACTATATTTGTTATTTAACCTTACAAAATCATCTTATTTTATAATGTTGTAGAGCAAACCACATTCACAAATAAAGTGTCTGCGATGTACTGTAAACATCGCCAAATTGTAAACATATATATTTACAAGTACAGTAAGAACCCACTTAATGCAAGGGATACTTTCCTAGACAACAAAGTGCTAAATGAAACAGCGTTAAATGAGGTCATTTTAACACAGAGTAATAGGGAAAGGGGAACATGCAACCAAAAATAAACGGAGTTTACTTTAGTTTTAAGTTATTTTTATATTAATTTGCATAATAATATATGTTAAATAACACACAAACATATGCACACAGAAATGTAAAGTACATTTTTTGTGACAAAGGTCCTGGCGTTTCTGAAATTCTTGTTTTTTGCGATAAAGTCATGTAGTTTCATTTTGTCGCTTTTTTTCTTTTCTTAAGCAAATGTTGGTAGCAAGAAATCGCATTCAAAATGTCTCATCTTGTTTTTGTACTCCTTTCAAAATCTGGATCATTCTCTACAGTTTGATTAACAATTTCGGTTATCATTATCAAACTTTTACTAAGGAAATCTGTAACTACCTCCATGTTTTTGTGAACTCAGGGACCACCTCTTTTCGAAAGTTGAGGACACCACAATACACCAACAGATCCTTGAACTAGTGCATTTGTTATGCTATAGCTCTCTTTTCCAATTTAATGGGATTATTTACATGCAAGGCAAAGGAGTCCTGATGGGTAGCCCAGTGTTGGGGGATTTGTGCAAAATGGTAATTAGAAGATTAGAAAACAACGTACTACCACGTTTCTTACCCAATATCTTATTTATAAACGTTATTTAGATGACATCATCATATTTTGGAAGATGGAACCTGACCTAAAACTCTTCCTAGAAGCCATGAACAACAATCCATACGGGCTATCTTTAGAAGTGGAGCAGCATGACACTTTGAAGGAACTAACATACATACATCTGTATACTGGAAACCTAGTACCATCCCCACATATATTCCAAGAAATTCATGCGATCCTTTCCCGTACAAAATTGCAGCATTCCAAGCGTTAGTGAGAAGAGCTCACATGCACTCATCGACGCAACAAGCTCTTGCAAACGAACTCCTACATATAAAAAATATTGCAGTAGCCCATGGATACAACAACACTCTCATCGAAAATTTGTCTAAAAGACACGAGATTTCCCAAGAAGCCTCCAATAACCAGACAGGTCACTGATGAATATACATGAGGAAGAAAAAGAGAGGATACCTATCACGTATAATCCGACACCGAAATCAATCTATAGCATGATAGCCAAAAGAGGAGGAATAAATATTGCATACAGAAGATGTCAAACAGTCTTCAGGATACTAAGCAATGGCAAGGATCTACTGAACCCCAAAAGGCTATCAGGAGTATACACAGTGCAGCTAGAAGACAACCGATGTGGCAGACAAATGACATATATCGGTTCAATGAAACATTCATTAAAAGTGAGACTGAAAGAACACGATTCGGACATACAGCATGGTAGAAACACAATGGCCCTTGCCACATACGTGTCAGAACAGGAGATAAGGGCGGACCTGGATGCAGCGAACATCATTATAACTAACTCCAACCCTCAACAATTAAAATGGCTAGAAGCCATAGAGATATTTAAGGTGGGAATAAATAGTATATGTATTAATTATAAGGAGGAAATGGCCCTATCTTTAGCATGGCAGATTTTGCTGGATAACAGTGTTCAAAAGAGAAGATTATAGAAATCAGTTTATACGGAGCATGTGCAATACAACTAACTTATTATAGAACATTTACATGTGATAGTATTTGGAAGGAATTCATAACTAATGTTTATTTGAACGGTAATGGCCAATTTTGTAAAGCCTGAGGAAGAGCCCAGGAGGAGCATTGAAAACGTTTGCGAATCTAGAAAAGGAACCACTATGGTTAACATGTTTGAAGAGTACAGTACATATAATATAGTTAAAATAGTTTGTTATTTCATCAATTATTGATAATATCTCACTTGTCAGTTCTATTGAATTATAATACTTAAGGAATAAGTTATAGTTATATTATTACTTTATTCTAGGTACAAGCTGGCGATTTCCCTCATTTATTAATTTATGGACCTTCTGGTAGTGGAAAGAAAACAAGAATCATGTGTTTGTTGAGAGAATTATATGGCACGGGTATAGAAAAATTAAAGATTGAACATCAAACTTTTACTACAGCATCTAAGAAAAAGATAGAAATAGCTACCATATCAAGCAATTATCACATTGAAATAAATCCAAGGTAAATAAATATATAATAATAATCTGAAGTTTTAAAAGTTAATTTTTTTCATAAATTTTATTATAGCATTTATAAAAGTTTCTTAGCAATGGCATACTGCAAACTAGAAAACTTTTATAAAGTTTCTAGTTTGCTGTATGTCAGATTTGAGTTTAACGATAATAGTATATATAATCACTTTACAGAGAGAAAGTGAAGAGATCAAGAATATTATTTGTATTATAAATTTTATATTGTGTGTGTTTAAATGAATTTTCAGTTTACTTTAATAATAAACTAAACAGTTTTAACAGATAAATGACAATCTACACTCGAGAACTACATTCAGTAAGAAGTTGTTTAACAGATAATGGCTGTTCAACAAAATTTAATTTCTTATATTTTAACTTACAAGAAAATAGCATTTTAAAAGACATATGTAAATATTATTCTCTAAAATTGAGTTTACAATCAGATACTTTTGGTTAGAAATTTATTAATGTATATTATTACAGTAGAGCGTCGTTTATCTGAAAGCCGGTTATCCAAAATGTAGGTTAACCGATAGCATTCCAGTCGGCAAATTTAAATTTTTGCTAGTGCTGTGGTGCTGCAATCTTTGGCTATATTTTGGACTACTCCAATATTTTTTTTGTGGTGTGTGTGTTTTAGCTGGCAGCACTGGCACTTTTGTGTGGTGTTTTTCTGAGGATTGTGTGTTGTGCTGAATCAAACGTTTTTGATACTAGATTAACTTCTAAAGTATAATTTTTTTGTTTTTATATTTTTCAATATATTTATTTTGTTTGTAAAAAATAAATAAATAATTTTTAACGATACAATAGCCACGATTATTATTTTAAAAAGTTTACGTTAGGCTTAACATCGACGAAAATTCAATGCAAAGCGACATGCAACGGAGAAAAATTTCAACATGGGATAGGTTAATATATTTTTTCGTACATAATCGGTTATCCGAACAACCCCAGTCCCCAGTTGATTCGGATAAACGACGCTCTACTGTAATTTATTTCAAAATATGTTTTTTTGAATAATCAGAGCACTTTGCTAAAAATTAACATCTTGATATATTTACAATTCTTAACAATTGCATAACAATGTGTGCTCAATTATTAAAGGTTTATTTGCTGAAAAATGAAATGTATAATAAAAGTTTCATACACAAATTTATAAATTTGTAATTTACTACATTAATTTTGTAGTTGTAAACAGACATAAAATTTAATAATAATCAAATATTATTTTAACAATAAATTGAATATCAACTCAGCTTCTTTTAAAACATTTAATATTATTTTAACTTTCAGCCATAAAGAATGATTCAAATCTTTCAAATTAAAAAAAATCAAAATGATTCATATACAGTAGAAGAAAATTTCATATTTTTATGGTAAATGATAATGATTAAAATAATTTATTTATTCAAGATTATAGAAAGTTTATAGGCTGTCTGTGATTGCAATTGTTTTCACTGTTAATAGCAACTCCACTTAAGTTAGTTGATACAAAAAAGCTTAGCCAAGAAGAGTATATTTTCTTACATGCAAGTGCTTGTGTTGATACAGTTTTACCTGTATTTATCCTTGTTTTCTGTTTATCCCATTGTTTTAATTTTGTAATGCAATTCTATTTTAAATTAAGTTAATTATAGCACTGAAAAGAGAGGTAGAATGGGTTGTTCATTTGCAGGTTTGCTATAATGATTATCATCACAACAGTTAGTGATAAGTTGGTTTTATTTTTACATGAAAAATAATGCTATAAAACAAAAACTAAATGCAACTATTTTATGAAACTTACAATAAATGAATATACGAGTAAAAATAGTTCTACATATTGTAATAGTTGTTGTTAGTTGTAGCTGTAATAGTTTTGCTGTTATTTTTATTTTTCTTATTAATGATGTAAATAACAGCAACAGAATGTTTACATCTTTCTATCACTTTGCAAGTGTATTTACCTCCTTTAATTAAATTCTTTTGTTTCTCCTTTAAACTGAAATTAGGTAAAAAAAAAAAAACACATGGCAACATATTTTCGTTTTTAGTAATCAAAACTAGATTGAAATTAAAATGTGAACATATCTTTTTATTTTTCCAGCTATTACAGAACAGAGGGAAAGTATTGTAATCAATCAAATTTTGGCCTTCTGAGTTTTTTGAATTTTTCAACATTTTAAGGTCCCTTGATTCCAAAAATATCAAAAAAGGGAGGAAAAAAATTCTGTCTATCTGGTGCATGTGTTCTGTTTATATTTCAGTATCTTAGGATCCCTGGACAAAAAATTTTGAAATTTGGCAGGAATACTTTTTTACATGGGTGCTGTTATATTTTGGAAATGGTAATCCAAGGGGTAGAGATCATAAAATATTTATCATCATACATTAGAATAGATTCTTTCCCAATGCTCAGGAACATGATTTTTCCATTCAAAAATTGTCTACAAATTAAAGAAGATACTAATATCTATGCTTAGTAGTTTAAATATACCTAATGAAGGAGTTGTCCACAAATTATATAATGCATTTTTAGAAAAATTTTGACTTTTTCTCCTACAATAACACTAACAAATTGCATGCCTCCTCCTTGTTATAATGTTTATCATACTTGGCCCACTTATCCATTGTCTATTATTCCTATATATAAAATATATTTCTCATTGTGTCACATGATTACTAGACAGTGACATTTTGTGCTGTAAACCGACATTGCCAAATTGGGCTGCAAATGCAGATATTCAGATTATAATTTGGAATTAAGTTATTAACTTAAAAATGTAAACCTTAGAATGGATTAAAGTAACTAGGCATTGAGAAATTTGCTATAATTTTTGTAGTAGTAGTAGTAGTAGTAGTAATAATAATAATAATAACCTGAATACAGACACACACACTGACACACTTATTTAATTTTAGTTTTGTTTTGGTTGCTAAGCCTTGACTTTGGTCCGGCATAGTACACAGCCACCGGTGTGAACCGAGTATAACTCACAAAACCCAACATAATAATAATAATAATAGTAGTCTGTATAA